TCGGTCGGTCGGTCGGTCGGTCGGTCGGTCGGTCGGTCGGTCAGTCGGTCAGTCAGTCAGTCAGTCAGTCAGTCAGTCACTTATAATTATATTATATGAGACATTAATAGCATGTGTTACTATTTCTCGAATAGATGTTCCTGTTATGTACGTTTGTATCGTCAGCGTACATTCGAGCTGTAAAATGTTTTAAACACCGACGAAGATCGTTGATCTATAACGGTTGAATAATAACGGTCCAAGAATTGACCCCTGAGGCACAACACAATTAATTGTACGTTTGCCGGATAGAACATTATTCACATAACTTTTTGCAATCTTGTAAATAGAATTGAAACCAGAATAAACTATTTGTATCAACCCCGTAAATGTGGAGTTTCTTGAGTAATATCTCGTGATCGTGACTTATTGTATCAAATGCCTTCGCTAGATCAATATAAACAACCGCATTTTAAGCTTTTCCTGATCCATATTTGCAAGCCATTCAATAGTGGCATTCGTCAGTGCAGGCTGGTACTTCCTAAAAACCTGATTGATTCTTGAGTAACAAGTTGTTTTCATTGCATGAAATAGATATAAAGCTGATTAAAAACAATACGCTCGAGTACATGGAGTACAAATTAGTAACAAAATCAAGCTAATCTGGGCAAAATCTTTTCAAGATTTGCGAATGTTTGTTGAGGAAATGTTGAATTTAACCGACGGCGTTTGGGCTTGTCCCGGAGTTTAACTCTGACGATATTGATTTTCGATGGTATCTTGACACACAGACAATCACTATAAATGGAAAACTAAAGAATGGGATAGAAGGGAGATTGAATTTTATGGCTCTAGTATCAGGGAGGTTCGCAATTGAAATGGGAGCTTCGAGGGAAGACGGCCATCTAGGCGAAACCCATGTTGCCCCGATACAACTGAATATTTATGATTCAAGAGACGTAAATGCTTTGCAAATGACAGCCGAATTAACCGCAGCCGAATTATAACCCGGCCAAATATTCGACAACATCGAACTGGAAAATAGCAACTGTAGTACAGTATTAAATAATGAAGACTCAAGTAGATTGTCTGAAGGCAATGTCTTGGCCGCGAAGAAGCCCAAGGAAAATCTAAAATGGCAAGGCGACTACAATGAACTCTGTTAATTTGTCGATGATCTACAAGTAGCGATACGATAGTACTCGAATACGAGAACCATAACTATAACTATAAAAGGGGAGAGAGCAGCCGAAGTTAAATATAAAATAAGAAAACTCAACCAGGAGTTGGGCGGCGAAATGATGCTACAAAGCACAAATTATGCAAAAAAATTGCATGCCGACTTGGAATCAACAAACAGTCATTTGCATACCGGGTCACAACACGATAATCTGAAAACTAATGTATCGTCCAAAACTGACTCAGAAATGAATCAGTTAAGATCGAAGTTGGATAGCTTTACTGAGATCGTTAATAGAAAACTGGAGGTTCTTGCCGATGAAGTATATGCTGTTAAAGAAAACAAACCGCGTCTATGACTACAGAATTGATGGTGACGACAAGAAACCAGTACGAAACTCTTACAAACCGCGTCTTTGACATAGATGACAACGCCGACTTATCTGTACAACTAATCCACGAAAAAACGATTATGCAACAAGAATCGAACCATCCCAACATACACAATAAAGAGGAAGTGAGAAACGAAAAGAAACGAGGAGAAAAGAAAGTAAATCCTTCTCAGCAGCATAGATCTCCTAGTCCATCCAACTCGACAGGCCTTAAAAATGCAGATTCTATGATTAAAGGACTTCGTCCCGACAAGATTTACAAATCGGTTAAGCACAAAGCTCAGGTTAAATCCTTTCCTGGTTCAACAGTTGAAGATCTAACTGATTGCATAAAACCTTCCCTAAAGAGGAAACCTAAAAACATTATAGTGCATGTAGGTACTAACGATTTGAAAAGAAAAAGTGCTAAAGATGTTGCAAAGAGCATTAATAAGCTATGTAAATCTATCAAGTTGGACCAACCTCAAACATCAATCAGTGTTTCCGAAATCATCCATAGAGAAGATAACCAAGAACGTAAGGAGAAAGCATTGGCAGTCAATAAAGAACTGGCCAGGTATAGTGAACAGAAAAAGTTTTATCTAATTAAGAATGAAAATATTGATGAAAATAAGCTAAATTTATATGGTCTGCACCTTAAGGTTACAGGACACCCTTTTTGGCGTTTTGCGGAAAATCGCTACTGCGCGCTCAATATCAGTCCGATTTGAATCAAATTTTCACCAAATGTTCTCCAGTGCATGCAAAATATGGTAAAGTTGTAAAATTCACAAACAATAAAATAATATAAGAATTATTTAGGAAAATCGTAAATCGCGGTACCGTTACGCTTTTGAGTTGTGCTCCTGCTGGTTTTAAGTTATATTTATGAAAATATCATTTTTATACAGTAAAATAGTTGTTCTAAAAAATTTTGTTCGGAAATTTTTGTTTATTTCGTCATTCCGCTGATATGGCGATTTCTTTGACGACTGCAATATATATCTGAATTGTTTGAGGGAATTGCTCTTTATTATTAAAATATCCAAAATTAAAACAAAGCCGAATACTATTTTGAAACTGACGTCTTTAGCTATGTCCTGTGAAAATTTGAGAAAAATTGGTCAAAACCCGCAGGAGCACAACTCGTTTGAAAATCAGTAATTACCGTAAAATTCTTCGGGAGAAAATTGAATTTGAATATTACATTTTCAATGTTTTTCTTATTGCAGCGAAATGTATTTTATTAAATAACTCTGCGAGTTTTCGACATTTTTCGTTCAAACTTGGTCAGATAGTAGAACTAGTCTAATGCTTTCATGAAAACCAATAAAAAAAATTTAGGCAGAATTAACACTGAAAGGTGTTCTGTAACCTTAATAAGCAAGGTTCAGCAGCTTTAGCTAAAAACATTATTAATCATATAAACTGTCTGAAGTATCTTTAATGATACTGAACAGTTTGCAGAAAATAATGTAACAACTTCAAAGGAACTCCCTACAAAAAACACTAGTCAAGTTGTGAATAAACCAGATCTGAAAGGCGTCTCGATAATGCATTTAAATATTGCAAGTTTGATCAAACATATTGATCAACTAAGAATTAATTTAATAGATAAACCTTGCCACATTCTAAGTGTTAATGAAACTAGACTAAGTGATAATATAAACGATGGCTTTGTTAAAATAGATGGTTACGAAATATTCCGGGCCGATAAAAACCGAGCAGGTGGTGGAGTTGCTTTATATATTAAAACAGCTATAAATGCAAATTTGAGACAAGATTTAATTCCAGATGGTCTAGAAGCAATTGGCTTGGAAATTAAAAGAACAAAAAGCAAGCCACTGTTCGTTATTAGTTGGTATAGACCACCAAATAGTCCGGCTGCGATTTTCGACAAATTTGAAGTAATGATTCGTAATCTTGAGGCGGAAGACAAAGAATATTTTTGAATTTTTTTGAATTTATTAACATTTGTCACAAAATTTACAATATTAGCGACAGGAGGAGAAACAGGATAAAATCCCAATTGATATCTTCCCCTTACATGCAGTTAAAATATCTAAAACTATTTAATGTATACTATAATATATATAAAAAGCAATAATGAAAAATTATCTAGTACTAAATTAAGGCGGAGAGTATGTTAAGAGTTTTTCATTGTAAATAGAAGAGAGTTGCCTCCTAAAAAGAGCAACACTCCGATTACAAGTTTTCAACTCATGTGGAAGATTGTTCCATAATTTCACTGATCTTGGAAAATATGAATTTTGATAGTAACACTGTTTGTGATTAAATAATTCACGAAGGTTATAACTATCTGTTCGACGAGTATTATAATGGGGGCAAACAGGCTTGTATAGACTACCAAAGTCCACATTAAGTATCCCACATTTATGTTTATATAGAAAAATGAGATCGGAGATCTCTCTCCTAAATTCAAGTGGCAACAGGTGCAATTTTAACAATCTGTCCGTGTAGGAGATATCTCGGCTGTAGTGATTTAAGATGAATTTAGTTGCTCTCCTTTGAACATTTTCAATTAGTGCACGTTCCTTTATTGTGTACGGAGACCAGAGATTTGAAGCGTATTCGAGTTGCGACCTTACCAGAATAATATATAATAGCCTCCGGGTCTCTTGATCTACTATATCCTTGCCGCAGACACGTTTAATAAGACCTAGAGCTCTGTTGTCCTGGTGACTGGTTCTGTTGGCCTGGGCGACTTAAATTGTAATTTGCTAGAGGCTGAAAAAAATGTCCATAGTAAACGACTCATAGATATCATGGACATCTATCAGCTAGAGCAAATTATAACAGAGCCAACCCGAGTCACAATTGACACGTCATCACTGATTGACGTATTTATTACAAACATTTCTCATAAAGTAAAATCCAGTGGAGTGATTCGTCTTGGCATTAGTGACCACTACATGATTTATGTGTGTACCAAAGACGCAATCAGTAGACAGCCTCCTAAAATTGTTGAGACTAGATCTTTTAAAAACTACAACAAATTTGCATTCAGAAGGGATCTGTTCTATACACTAAATTCGTCTAATATAGAAGCTGAACTAGACCCAAACAAAATGTGGGAAAAATGGAGAAATGTGTTTACTACTACCGCAGACAAACATGTTCCATTAATAACGCGTAGTGTTAGAAGTCAACACACTTCATGGCTGACTAGTGAAATTAAGAAACTGATGAATTATCGAGACTATTTAAAACATAAAGCAACCCGCACTAAATATCGGTATTTCTATGAAGCCTATAAAATTGCTCGAAACAAAACCAATAAAATAGTACAGAAAGCTAAATCAAGGCATTTCCAACATACCATAAACAACAATAGCAACAACCCAAAACAACTATGGAAAAGTGTCAACCTCATTCGAGGTAAAGGATCAAAAACAACTAATGTATCCACTCTAAAAATAGACGAAGAAACTATAACAGGTGAAAAGAACATTGCTGAAGCTTTTAACTCTTTTTTCGTCAGTGTGGGTCCGTCGCTTTCGGAAAGTTTACCAGAGTTTCAAAAAAGCTATTCTGATTATGTTCAACATCCAATACACAATACCTTTTCCTTTAGTGAGGTTAGTGAAAATGACACTCTAAAGTTGCTATATGTCCTATATGGTTTGAAAGAACTCAAAGGCGGCTGGTCCAGATAAAATAAATGGTAAACTAGTTAAGGATTCTGCTGAAGTAATCTGTCCTACATTGACAAAAATTTTCAACAGATCCTTGCAACAAGGTATCTTCCCAGAGGAACTTAAAACCGCTTTTGTCTCCCCCATTTAAAAAACGGTGACAAATTTGACTGTATCAATTATAGGCCTATTTCGATTTTGTCGACTATTGCGAAAATGTTAGAAAAAACCGTCTACAATCAGTTAATTTCGTATATAAATGAGAACAACATTCTGTCAGGTAACCAATTTGGATTTCGAAAATCTCATTCAACTGTAACGTCGTTGTTAAATGCTACAAGTAACTGGCTCCTAAATATTGATTAAGGTCTTATAAATGGAGTCTTGTTCCTAGATCTACGGAAAGCATTTGACACTGTTGATCTTATAATCCTAATTGAAAAGCTAAAACTGTATGGAATTACAGGGGGTGCCTTGAATTGGTTTATATCATACTTAGAAAAAAGATATCAAACATGTAAAATAAATAACGTTAAATCATCCAGAAAATTAATTAAATGTGGTGTTCCCCAGGGGTCAAATTTAGGACCCCTCCTATTCTTATTATATGTCAATGACCTGCCAAATTGTCTTGATCAGGCAAAACCTTCGATGTTTGCTGATTATTATTATTATTATTAATCATCTTTATACAGGTTAACTTGTTCAGCTATTACAATAAATGCTGTTATCCTACAAGGACCTGTATCTATCTACATTAATCAATTATGATATTTTCTATAAAAGTTAAAAGAGATCTAGGCTAAAATGGATAAAAACTACTGACTAAGAAGAGTTTACTTAAAAAACGTCCAGTTTATAAGGATTTTAATTTTCCTTTAAATCTAACGATTGATTTTTTAGTTTTCATTTCTTTAGGTAGTTCATTCAATAGTTTGCATCCTTGGAACTTAAACGTCTTTCTGCCTGCTTCAGTTTTAATTCGTGGGACAATGAGGGAGCAACCATCTCCTCGAGTGTTCTTCCCATGATTGAGAAATGTGAAGAAGTCATGGAACACGGGAGGAGAGGCTCGTTGAATCGCTTTATGAACATCCAAAAGAGTCTTTTGGTTGATTATTTCCGAGATTGATTTCCACTCAACATCAGTCTGTTTCGAAAGCACAATTTTTTTTCCCCGATCCTGGATTGATTGAAGTTTTTCTTTCAAATACGTTGGCAAACCAAGATACACTGCCGGACAATATGTAATAATTGGTTGGATCATATTTAGATAGGCTCGCTCAGCTGCATAGGTGGTTAAATTGGGCCTTACTCGTTTGAGTAACTTTAGTCTTGTAGAGGTTTTGTGATACACAGTACGAACTTGTTCGTGGAGAGTAAGATGGTGGTCAAGTAGCACACCCAAATACTTGTATTGCGTTGTTTGATTAAGATGTTCACCGTTGATCTTGATGTTGATAGGAGAGGAAGATTCTTTACCCAGTCTTTTGGCGGTCCCAAACAGGAGAAATTCAGTTTTTCCTTTCTTCAAATTTAGTGTTAGATGATTTTCCGACATCCATCTTATTGACTTCTTCATTTAGGATAGTTTCCAATTGGGAAATGTTCCTATGACTAAAATATATTACTGTATCATCGGCATAGAGTAGAATTTTACATTCAGTTACTTCAGTATGAAGATCGTTTATAAGTAAAGCAAACAGCAGTGTAACGATATTTATAACTGTTACCCAAAAGTCTTTATTACTTCGATTAGTATAACATGTCTGAATCTCAGCTTGTCAGTCTCGAGCCTAAAACATATCGCCTAAAAACTCGACAACAACAATGACTCACGTGACATCAACGATGATGTCATCTGGCCATCTCCATCTCAATATGAAATTGTTTAACGGCATCATAGTGTTTATGCCTAACATATACCTAACATTTTTGTGTCCCAACGAAATTGTTTAACGGCATCATAGTGTTTATGCCTAACATATAACTATAAATAATGCGTGATAATTCTTAGTGTCTCTCGTAATCTTTATGCCAATCTGGCGAACGTCGCACTCGCGTAGTTCGACGAGGGATTGTCTCTTCTTGTCCCGCGTCACTTTCACTCGGCGTTCGACCTCCATTACTGCCAGAACTGCCTACCTGATTTTCATTTTCTGTTTCATGATTTAAAGGGTTAGTTGGTGTGCTATGTTCCACGACTGGTAAACTTGGGGTGAGGTCCTTTTCGATCGGCTCGCTCGGTTCGATTTGGGAATCTTTCGCGTTGGGAGGTGGTGCCATCTCTTTGGTCGCACGTAGATGACGGCGATTACGGCGATATCGCCTTCCACAAACCTCGACTTCGAAAGATCGGTTTTCGAGTGCACGTACGCAGGTACCAAGCGACCAACGGTTATCGCCTGGAAGTTTCATTCTAATGGCGCATCCACTTTGTAGGGGCTCAAACGGTTTACATTTCTTGTTATACAACCTTGCTTATTTTACTTTGCGGTTCTCTAATTCCTTCTTTGTTCCGTTTTGTTCCGGTGTTTTAAGAAGACTCTGATGTGTGGGAAGCAATGTACGAGTACGTCGACCCATTAATCTTTGCGCTGGTGAGGTTCCAATATTTTCAGTCGGGGTGTTCCTCCAATCTAGTAATGCTAATAGAGGATCTTCACCGCTGGCTTTTGCTTTCTTTAATAGGGATTTACAAGTTTTCACTGCATTTTCGGCACGTCCATTAGATTGAGGATAGTGTGGGCTCGATGTTCGGTGTTCAATTTGCCACTCTTTTGTAAACTGGGCAAATTCCGCTGACGCAAACTGAGGGCTATTATCGGAGATTAGGGTGTCCGGAATTCCATGCCTCGCAAATTGGACCTTTGATGCAGTGATGACAATTTTCGATGTAACTTTTGATAACTCTTGAACTTCAAAGAACCCACTCCAGTAGTCAACAATGATAAGAAATTGCTGATGTCCCAATTGAAATAGGTCCTCTCCAACCACTGACCATGGTCGTTGTGGTAGGTCGTAGGACTTCAGTGGTTCACGACACTGCTCCGGCTGGTGTGTTTGGCATATAGAGCACTTTGAAACATAATCTTTCACCTCCGCATTCATTCGTGGCCAATATATCACTTCCCGTGCTCGCCGCAGACAACCCTCAATACCTATATGGGACTTGTGAATTTGCTGTAGCATTTCTTTTCTTAAGGATGAAGGCACGACGAGTCTTTCCCCAAAGAAGACTAATCCATTATCTTCAATAAGTTCGCTTCGATTGTTATAGAATGGAATTAGTGCTGGTGGACATTGTTTCCGGTCTATTGCCCATCCTGTATTGATAGCGGTGATGAGTTGTTGCATCACTGGGTCTGTTGATGTACATTGTTTAAACTGGTTTAACCTGTTCGGAGCTATTGACACACCTTCGCAGTGGTTAATTTCTTCTAATGCACGTACTTCGCTTATGTCATGTTCGGCAGACTCGGTTGTACTTCGGTATGCCCGATTCAGAGTGTCTGAAATCCACATTAATGTTCCTTTCTTGTAATGAATTTCTAGTGT